CGTACCATCATATTCCCATCCACCCGGATGACGTTCCAAAAACTGCTATCACCACGCCATTCGGCTTATACGAATTCGTGCGCATGCCTTTCGGGCTGATGAACGCCGCTCAGACATTTCAACGTCTCATCGACCAAGTACTCCGCGGCCTGCCCTTCGTCTACGCATACATTGACGACTTACTAATTGCAAGTGCAGACGAAACCGAGCATGTGAAACATGTGAGGACGGTGTTTGAAAGACTTCACAAATACGGCATGACTATCAATTTAGATAAATGCGAATTTGGTAAGAAATCACTGAAATTCCTCGGTCACTTGATTGACAATCAAGGAATTAGACCAGTCCCCGACGATGTACAAGCCATCAAAGACTATCCATTACCAGATTCTTTCAAGAAACTACGGCGATTTTTGGGTCTAGTCAATTTTTACCGGCGTTTTATCCCGAACTGTGCTAGAGTTTTGCAACCGTTGACCGACTGCTTACGTGGACATAGTCGTTCATTCCATTTGCCTGCAGAAGCTGTTAAAGCATTCGAAGCTGTTAAACAATCGTTAAATGACAAGACGCTCTTAGTCAGACGCCAGAATGACGCCCCCTGTCTCTCATGACAGATGCTTCAGATGTCGCCATTGGGGCAGTGTTACAACAGCAGGTACATGGCGAATGGCAACCCCTTGCATTCTTTTCGAAACGACTGAATCCTACTCAATGTCGATATAGCACCTTTGGTAGAGAGTTATTAGCTGTTTATTTAGCAATCAAGCACTTTCGACATATGCTGGAAGGTACACCTTTTACTGTCTTTACAGACCACAAGGCTCTAACGAAAGCCTTATCAGCAAAACAGGATAACTACTCTCCACGTGAACTACGACATCTCGAGTTTATATCCCAGTTCACCTCCGATCTGCGACACATAAAGGGTAAAAACAATGAAGTGGCAGACGCTTTATCACGTATGCACATTGATAACATTGTATGCCCAGACATCGACTACGAACATCTCTCAAACTTACAACGAGATGACGCCGAACTCAAAAAGATCATGTCTTCTAAAACAACATCTCTAAACCTCGAGGCAATTCCTTTCGGCACGACAAAAGTTATCTGCGACACCTCTACAGGTAAATATCGACCTTTCGTTCCAATAGCTATGAGACATACAGTATTCGAGAAGTTACATAACTTGTCGCATCCTGGTGTTAGCGCTACTACCAAGCTACTAAGAGAAAGATTTATCTGGCCAAACATTAACAGCGACGTTAAGAAGTGGACACGAAATTGCTTGTCTTGTCAAAGAGTCAAAATCAACCGGCACACCAAAGCACCACTTGGTCGCTTCCCTAACCCCGACTCTAGATTTGACCATGTACATGTAGACATAGTTGGTCCACTGCCTCCTTCCAATGGTTTCAACTATATTCTAACCTGCATTGACAGATTTACTCGTTGGCCAGTAGCAGTTCCATTAATCGACGTCTCAGCTGAAACGGTAGCTAAAGCTTTAGTCGAAAACTGGATAGCCAACTTTGGTGTCCCATCAATTATCACTACAGACAGAGGTGCCCAGTTTGAAAGCCGACTGTTTGACCAACTAACTGAATTACTAGGCATTAAACGAATACGAACGACAGCGTATCATCCTAGTTCCAACGGTATGGTCGAACGATTTCATCGACAACTCAAAGCTGCGCTCGCTGCTTCTTTGACTCAAAACGATTGGTCAACCAAACTTCCACTAGTATTACTTGGTATACGAGCTACTATAAAGAAAGATATTGGCTGCTGTGTTTCCGAACTAGTCTATGGAACAACATTACGATTACCAGGAGAATTTTTCACCCCGGGTAACAAAGTTCCACACGATATGACTGGTTACGTGCATCAGCTAAAACGACACATGAACGAGCTAAAGATATCAATTCCACGTCAGCAGGAACGAGCGTTAGAGTTTAATTAATCCAGCAAGTGTAATGCTGCGTCCGGGTGAACAAAAGGTCGTTGGAGTCAACAAGTTATCGTCGAGGTGAAAAAGTTGTCGTCGCGATGGACAATTTGTCGACGGCGTAGAAATTTGTCGTTGGGGTCAACAATTTGTCGTCGGTGTCGAAATTGGTCGTCGGGCTCACCAATTTTGTTGCGTGCGTTGTCTGACTAAACTGCTGTACACATATATTCTATGTATTTCTTCGCTCTTATTGATGTGCGCAGACGTTGTGGCTACTCGACGCCCACAACGTAAATCAAAAGGCACTTGTGAAGAATACGAATATGTATTGAAGCAGTAGTCAAATTCGAAATTGTGTGTCAAGGTAATATTCAACAGTGAATTGACAAGTATTTGCGAAGTACGTATAAAATCAGTCTGTATACACATATAATGCAAGTATACAAATTAGATTAAAAAGCATGTTTACGGTTGGTATAGGGGTACTACAAGGCTAACGGGTAGGTTGAGGTAAGGTTAGAAGTATGTTAAAGAGCAGAGTGAGGAATGCCGATGGGTCCCGAAGTGCCAAGATCTTCATCCAGATGAATGTATGTTTCTCGTTTGGCATGATATCTCTTTGGATTATCCCTGGAGTACACAGGCAACATTCAAATATACAACGATCTAAGAGAAAATTTCCCAGTCTTATATCACGTTTTTAAATTGTTTTTAGTATAATTCCCAGTGGTGATTACTCAACTTTATAGCACGTCAATTCTGATTTTTAGTTCAAGGTTACTGTGATCTTGGCTATGACAATTTCAGTTGGCTCCAATAGCCCTTTGCGACTCAGTGGATACTGGACATCAGATTAAACCAGATCAAGTGTCCCAGTAACCTCTCAAGAGAAGTTTGACCACATCTCCTATCGTTAGCCAAAGCAGCGCCAATCACTACCATAAGACCAGGTCAGAACATCGATAATTAATCTTTCACACTTTGTTTACTTTGGCCTACAATTAGGCCAACAAATCCTCTATAAATATTGACAACTAGCACCATAAATCTCTATCTCTTTATTAACCTTTCAGTCTTTGTTACATTGAGAGAACTTTATTTCAGAGATTTTATGATCCCCTGAACTGTATCTATATCTTCCTTAGAATTCACACAATGTATGTTTTGATGATACTATCAGGCTCACTATCCTCAGATCGCTCCTCACCATGGAATACAGAGTCATAAGTAAACGAATGTGGTGTTTTCTGACGATTCACTGGTGTTGTCAATAGAGAATATAGGACCTCATGATTACGAAATGTAATATCTTTGGTCGCTGCAAAAACCATTATCTCTGAATGGCTGAGAACAAAATTTGACTCTTAATTCAGTGAAAATAAGTTGCATTGAGTACTCAGAACTTATAGCGAAGACAGTTTAAGTTAAAGAGCGAATTCAGTCTTGAGGATTCGACATTACTAGCAGTATGATTCTGTGCATTTCCGTACACTCCCGACTCTGAATGTAAATTGAAAGATTATGGTCAATGCATTACAATATCTTATCACATATGAGGTGGCATAGTTGACTGGGTAAATTGGTAATAGATATAAGAAGTGTGCAGTGTAGCTTCCAAGCTTTGTTCGACATCACTCTCAATTCAGTGGTTAGTCATGCAGAGTTATGTAAAGCATGGTTTTCTGGGACTTTTTATTTTCGGATTAAGACTTGTGTATAACCACTTTTATGCCACGGTGTTGAAGTTGCTTCTTTCATACATTGACTTCCCATATTCCATAGTTGGCTGAGATTTACTACTTAAGTAATTGATTAATTTTCTACTGTTTGATAATCTTGTCACCCGACCTACTGTCATACTTATCTATCGACTTGGTCGAATAAAAATTAGCTTCATTCTACTATGTTTGAACTATTCAAAGAACTACTTGTCTTTGACAAGTCTTTGTGGATGGACGGTGATCTTGTAATTCAAACGATAGCACATAAGAAAGGGGAAGGCAGGATTTCATTTATAATTCATTTATTAATTATTGAACGAGGAAATGTTACATAATTGAAAAATTCATAAATATTATATCGATATTAGTCTTCAATTATCTCTTCTTGATGCTTTTCTGGGTTTCTGAGACGTCACTTTGACCTATAGAGTGAAAGAATATATTTTACAGATTATAGGAGCAACAAAAACGTGCCGCATTTTGTCTTTTCAGGCTCTTAGTTAAGGTGTATTTACGTATTGGAATGTTGTTTTAGGGAGGCTTCATACTATGTACATACTTTATTTATCTGTAGACAGTCATATTTCTAAACTATGTTCAATTTCGGACTCAATGTCCCAGGATCCTACGTCCGAGGAATATATTTAGAACAGCAAGTAGTTGTTCAGTACCATTTAAGTCTGCAATTTGATAACTGGACTTCAAATGAACTGTCGCAATCATACCAGGATGTGAGAATAACGAAGCACAATACTGTCATTCAGTTTGCTGCAGTTGTTTAGTGGATGAGTTTTATGCTCTGTTTTCGTTGCAGTAATAATTACCCATTTCAATTCAATTTCGCAAGATATTGTTTTGTACTAGGCTTTATTTAGTTGGTTGTATAAGTGACTAATCAGTTTTGCGTTCGTTCGTTAGTGATTGAAACTGAGGATACATTCGAGATTAGTGTAACATGACGTGGGACGATGAACGAACAAGCGAACTAGTTTGAACGCATTTATTACAAAGTAGTTTAACAGTATAGAAATATTCCTTTATCCATCAACCGTGAAAAAGTGGCTCAGACTCAAAAAGGAACATCACGCTTTAAAAGACGCATCGCAATTGTTTCATCTCCATTGTTCTCAGCTTTAAAAAACTATAGTTTGTCAATGCAGTAGATCAACAAATACCTGGTGAAAGCCTGTGAAGTGATATTTAATGTTGATGTTTTGATTTCTGTGATATGCTACTCTAATCTCTCCACATGTCTACACAACATCGAAATATTATTTCTTCAGCTTTATGTCATATTACTGGGAATCTACTTAGTTATTTGGTGCCTATATCGCATATTTTACATATGTAGTTTGTATACAGCCAAAGACATTATACGAATCCAAGTAGTTACGGGAAGTATTTGACGGACACAACTCACCATCAGACGACGAACCAGATTTCCTGTTTGAATTGCATAGTTTGTTAAATTCAGTACATGTTTTCAGAATCCCTTCAACATCCAAATTGCTCATTTCTTTGACAAAATCGTCTGAGAACCAAATAGATGTGGATATCACTTGTACTAGGAAAGAGAAAAAAAACACAATTTCATATGTAAACATTTTATAGTTTGATATGCACAAAATAGTGATAAATACTGATATTTTGAACTCTTTAATCTCTTTTTCCTAATCTTACTCAGCTTAGTTTTTATTGGTTTGTTCCTTGTGTGTGTTTATCACACACTCAGTCAGCAATATATCATGCACTTACCTTCTTTAGTGGAGCCCAAGTTTTGCTATTGCTTTCAATTAAATTAAACTGGAATTCAGCGATGAATAACTATCAATGCAAAACTGAAGAATGAGTGTTCGACCTGTGCATTTCAGCCCTAAAGTCAATATCTCTGTGAGCGAAAGGCAGGATGAGTCTGTTAGCGCGTTATTAAACTCCATCTATGTGAAATCATACCAAAATTGCAAAATAATGTTCCAGGCGATTAGCAATATGTAGACTGTCTGTTTGGAAATTTCCAAATTATGCACCAATTATAGATAACTACTGTCAGCAGCTGCTTAGTAAAAATCCTCATGTGTGAGTATACATGGGAGTTTCATTCTTCAACATTCCCTTCGGATTTAATTTATACTGCATTGAAACAAACACTGTTTGTTTCGAATTTCTAAATTATTACTGTGGCGTTCAATCAGTTTATCATATCTGATATACCTGAATTCTGCAGCATCTTAGAAACATCGATAGATGATGATATCACTGACACTGGGAATGATGAGTGAGGTGACGAATCAAGCAGAATGTATTCCTTGAAACAACTTTGAAAATTAAGAACCGTAAGACCACATGATTAAAGAAAGTGACACCTATTCCTTTAGTGAGGTAACCTTGTGTTCTTATGTTGTCCATCCATTAGAGAAAGATACGTGAAGCCAGTTGTTACTGGAATTCGTGTTAACAGGACTTGTGAAACCACTTGTAGCCTTTCATACATCAATTGCTGTGATCGATTTATGAACAATACTTGTCAGAATGAAGTGTAACCAGACGGGGAAGAATAGTATATGCGCTAGCTAATCAACGTTGATCAAATAACAAATGCTTGTTTCTTAGAATGAGTGCATTTTGGTGAATGTCTGTCGGACCTCGAAAGTATTCTTCAATCTCAAAACAAATTCGGTTTTGGTTAACTGGAAATAACATTTGAAGAATTATGGCGAGAACTGTCTTCATTTCAATGATGGTGATCAAATATATGCAACCGAGAAGAATATCAATGTTGAAGAGTAATCAAACTAGCTGATGAGTTTAAGTTAGTTGTATTGGACGAAATAAAAGCGACGATGTCTGTCAAGCCTGACAGTGTATAATTTTGCTGATAGGCTTAAAGCTTTCGATAAGTATGATTACATACCACAACGTTACGGCTCAAGCAATGGATGATCAGTATGAATGGAAAGGTATACAACTTGTGTCTTAGTATTTGTGAGAATTTGTACACTGTTGTGAGTAAATTTCTAATGAGTGTTTTACACAATAATAAGTTACAACATCAGTCAAAATGTTGCCAATACTAAATTCTGTCGTTGTATGCCAACAACCAATATAAATGTATTTCAATTACACTCTGCTTCTTGTGAAATATTAAAATCTAGTTTACTCTATTATTCAGTAACCATCACCAATATAATACAACAGCACGGTCTCGTGACTTTGAGAGAAAACGGTGTAAAAACTCGTTGTGAGGAGAAATCATGTTGCATGTAGATAAGGTGTATCAAAAACACATAATACAACATCACTTACTTGGTTGTTGTGTTGCTGTTTGTGTGGGGAACGCCATTCCGAGCATTCGATCCAAGTCAGTCTGCTGGTTGAAAAAGTCGAGGATCTTTTCATTGCTCAGTTTTGCATTTCTAGACATTGTAAACCAAGATGTTTCAGTCTCCACATCATACTTATCTGTGAAGAGAGTGAAATTTTGTAATAATCACATAAATTAATAAAGTTTGAGCTGAAGATAACGTTTAGAATAACAACAGGAGTTTCACTATTAAGCCAATCATTTCAGAGAACACAACTAAATGAGAAACAGCAGAACTTGTTTATGATGAATCCCTAAATTATCTCGCATGGGAGTTTCTTGTAATGGTGTATTCAGAGTCCATTTATACGTAACATTCTCACTTTTTACGCGTTGTAAATTAAGCATTGCCATAGTTGTGGAGGCTGTTTTGTTCACCAGTTCACTTCAAACTGAATCACTGATTGATAGAGTCAGTATTTTACCGATACATAATGAATGTTTTTCTTCTCAGTAGTCACATGACAATATTTGTCAATGAAATTCAACCAGCATTAGTCTGTACAATAATGTTTTGAAGGGGTCTACTGTTTTCTTCAATTTTCGTGTACATTTCATGGTATTATTCTGTTAATTCTGAATTGTAGTCAGGATGGTCAGATCATGGTTAACAACAATAATGATACTACATAGTTTTGGTGCATGTTCAGCCAACTTCTTCTTATCAACGCTTAGCAAGTGAAATTAAAGAGAAAGTCAATCAATTACTTTGAATGCCGTTTAGATGTGCCATAAACTCGTATCACAAGATTTAATATACTGGGTGGTTTACAGAACCGCACAATACTGAAAAATGAAACATTTGTTTTTCTTTTACATAAGTCAACATACCAAGTGGGTTGCTGTTGTTTTGATTCATGACATTTTGGAATAAATCGTTGGTCTTCAACTGGCTATTGACGAAGTCGAGCATTTCTTTGTTTGTTACTTTTTTGTTTCCCAGTTTGACTACCCATGTAGTTTCCACGATCTCATCATCATCTACACGACAAATCAAAGTGTAATACATGAAAGTGAAATTATTCTTGCATTTCTGTTATTTTACATTGCTGAAAGAAAACTGAACTGAAATTTCCATTGAAATTGTGCCTAATTCACTTTAGGGTGATGTACATTCACATTTTATGAAACTTACCATGTTGATTCATCTCTATCTTGCGAAACCTCTGAGTGAAACCTGATAACCATCTTTCAAAGCAATATATCAGAAAGTTGTGAAAGTCAAGGCTGTGAGTCAAATATCATAGTTTTATTGGAAATATTTATTGTTTCCATCTCTCAGCTGACATAAGACGTTCTTCTACATGTATCACAGTATATCACGCATTAGAATCTCAGTTATACTATTTGTTATTCACCTGAAACCTCTAAAAGCCGTTTTTTAAAATTCCTTTAAGTTCCCAGTGGAGTATAGGGATTCAAGCTGGAGGCTTGAAGTTTCTTCAACAGTGTTGATAATTTTTACAGGATGGGATTGCTAGCCTCAAGCCAAACCTTCCTTTTTTTACCAGTCTTATTAATGGCTTAGAGAGTTAAAGGAGTGCGTTGGCCGGGATCGAACGCCGGACCACCTTCGTGGTCGGCGAGCTCTCTACCGCTGTGCCACCCACGCACCCAAGACCCATCAGTTAATACAATAAACATACATTCATTTAAAAAAAAAATAACATTTGTACTGATTTAAGTATAGATTGACACATCTTAGTAATTACTTGATAAATAACACTAAAGTTAAATGAAAAATACAGAAATATGATCAAAATGCTTACAGTAATCGTCCTTTGAATCATTCGGTTGCCCTTGGCTATACACAACAGTCTTCTTCAAGAGTGGATTAATATCACTATCTGAGGTATTCCTGAATTTCCTACGTTTTGATCGACGCCTTTTCGGTATGGGTAAATTTCGCTTATCACTATCACCAGCACTATCATCATTATCACTATCAAAATTTTCATCAGATTTAGCTATCAATCAAATTGAAAACAAGTGACATTAAAATTAAAATAAGATAATAATTAAAAAAAAATCAAACATGTAAGACAAATTAAAAGATTCAAAGAAATCTGATGGGGATTTCCATTACCTCAAGATAACTACTTTCAACAAATTCACAGAAGTAGGAAAATTTCAACTAAATTATTACAACCTGGATAACAAACTGAAAAACTTGTAACAAAACATAAACAACTCAAAGAATGAATCAACTGATTGTTAGTCCTGAATTCAAAATTAACCAGATGCAGGTAATTGGACATTCAAGTGGAACAAACACGATTATCCAACCAATAAGGCTTACGTTGACACCCAATACATACAATCTGTATGCCACTCTGTATCACTTATCGTTTGAAAATGGTGAGTGAAACATCAGACTTAGTAGTGAAGGTGTGAATCGGTGACTGTGTCTGCGTGTATGTGTGTGTGTGTTGGTGTATCTTGATTTCCAAGAGTTTAAGTGGTTTTACTACGTTTTGTGTGTATGACTTACGTTCAGAAGAGTCGGGATCTGGCGTGTGTCCATTGCGCCTGTCTGAATGCTTGGACGGATGTCTTCGTCGTCGTCGTCGTCTTCTTCGCTTTCCTGACTTGTCGATGTAATAGACGTCTTGATCATCGTCTTTTGGTGTGGAGTCGGGAAGTGTTTCAGATTCCGGTGCTGATCCAGCTTCTGTAAACAGGAAATAATAACGCCGATTAGTATGAGAATATGTTCAAGGGGGTCGGTTGACGCAATCTGTGTAAGTGTTGCACACAGCATATTTACTGCTATAGAAAGGATTAAATGCTTGCCTAAAATGAGTTTTGACGAGTGCACTCCCCGAGGAGTGGAGAGACACGTAAAAGAAGGCAGATTCATTTTGAAACATGTCAAAAAGCACGCACTGATTCAACGAAAAAAGTCTAGGTTAAAAAGGTAACACCCCAAAAAACAGACCATAAAATGAAAATAAAATAAAGCAAGGTGAACGAGTTCGGTGTTTTCCATTAAAAAAATTACAACAATGTAATGCGAAAAAACGAGAGTGAGTAAAAAAAAGGTAAAATTCAAAAACAAAAGACGAAAAATGACTACAAAAACAGTGAAGCGAAAAAAGAAATTAATTCGAGGAAAAAATTAAATGGAAAAGTGAATAAAAACAAAATTCAGAGAAAAAGTAACATAAAAAACTAAACCGAAATATGAGAAGATTGAAATAAAATAAAAAACATCAAACAGAAGAAAAAGAAAATAACACAAAAAGAAGCAGAGTAAAATATGCGACAAAAATTCAAGAAGAAGAAATCAATTAAGTGAATAATACTCCGGAAAACACAAAAGCACGCTGACTCATGCACACATCACACCGACAAGACGAGCAAATCGACATTCGGAGAATGAAGCAGGAGGACGGCGAGTGGTGGTGTGGGTGATGAAATTGTGACAGTGTGAATGGAGTCAGGCGAATGAGACTCACCGATTGGTGTACGTCCGCCTGTTCGCGGCCCCCTTGGTCGTCGTTGTTTACCGATCACCTTTCCGTCCTTGTCTGTCACGTCGACGACTTCTTCGTCTTCCGGTGGCGTCACTCCATCTGCAAGAGAGAAGGAGGAGGAGAAGTCAGTGTCAGTCACTCATTCTTTCATTCAGTCAGTCAGTCAGTCAGCCAGTCTGTCAGTCAGTCAATCATTCACGCTGTCACTTAATGAGAGAGGCAGTCGGTCAGTCAGTCAGTCAGTCAGCCTGTCAGCCAATGTGTCCGATGATTCACGGATAATTCACTCACCCACCCATCTACAAATACACCATGCATCAATCACTTCGCTCGAATCAGAAAACAACCAATCTATCTCATCATCGTCGTCTCCATCCACTTCCATTCTCCTCCTTTCTACTCGCTCATGTAGACATTTCTACAACTCATTCGAATACAACACGAATACTCTCAATCACCAGAAACCTTCATCAGAAATCAACGAACACACATACACATTCTCACACGCACAAACACACACGCTCACACACTCGAGAGCGAAAACCACCACAAACAGACACACACACACACACAGACGCATATGCAGTCTGTGACCAACAATCACACAAAGACACACACAAACTCACACAATCACACACACTGAAACACTCGTCAAATCACGGACTGAAGACTAGAAACCTGGGTGTTGAAACAGGCAACGCATACTCCAGCATGCAGGAACACTCAGAATCCCACACACCCCCAAATAAACACACACACAGACACAAACATACACAAGACAATCTCCCGCCAACACCACAAATATGTGGCCACAACAATCGTCAGCACAGCCATCATCCGGGTGAACAATCCACCGGAAAACACAAAAGCACGCTGATTCATGCACACATCACACCGACAAGACGAGCAAATCGACATTCGGAGAATGAAGCAGGAGGACGGCGAGTGGTGGTGTGGGTGATGAAATTGTGACAGTGTGAATGGAGTCAGGCGAATGAGACTCACCGATTGGTGTACGTCCGCCTGTTCGCGGCCCCCTTGGTCGTCGTTGTTTACCGATCACCTTTCCGTCCTTGTCTGTCACGTCGACGACTTCTTCGTCTTCCGGTGGCGTCACTCCATCTGCAAGAGAGAAGGAGGAGGAGAAGTCAGTGTCAGTCACTCATTCTTTCATTCAGTCAGTCAGTCAGTCAGCCAGTCTGTCAGTCAGTCAATCATTCACGCTGTCACTTAATGAGAGAGGCAGTCGGTCAGTCAGTCAGTCAGTCAGCCTGTCAGCCAATGTGTCCGATGATTCACGGATAATTCATTCACCCACCCATCTACAAATACACCATGCATCAATCACTTCGCTCGAATCAGAAAACAACCAATCTATCTCATCATCGTCGTCTCCATCCACTTCCATTCTCCTCCTTTCTACTCGCTCATGTAGACATTTCTACAACTCATTCGAATACAACGCGAATACTCTCAATCACCAGAAACCTTCATCAGAAATCAACGAACACACATACACATTCTCACACGCACAAACACACACGCTCACACACTCGAGAGCGAAAACCACCACAAACAGACACACACACACACACAGACGCATATGCAGTCTGTGACCAACAATCACACAAAGACACACACAAACTCACACAATCACACACACTGAAACACTCGTCAAATCACGGACTGAAGACTAGAAACCTGGGTGTTGAAACAGGCAACGCATACTCCAGCATGCAGGAACACTCAGAATCCCACACCCCCCCAAATAAACACACACACAGACACAAACATACACAAGACAATCTCCCGCCAACACCACAAATATGTGGCCACAACAATCGTCAGCACAGCCATCATCCGGGTGAACAATCCACCGGAAAACACAAAAGCACGCTGATTCATGCACACATCACACCGACAAGACGAGCAAATCGACATTCGGAGAATGAAGCAGGAGGACGGCGAGTGGTGGTGTGGGTGATGAAATTGTGACAGTGTGAATGGAGTCAGGCGAATGAGACTCACCGATTGGTGTACGTCCGCCTGTTCGCGGCCCCCTTGGTCGTCGTTGTTTACCGATCACCTTTCCGTCCTTGTCTGTCACGTCGACGACTTCTTCGTCTTCCGGTGGCGTCACTCCATCTGCAAGAGAGAAGGAGGAGGAGAAGTCAGTGTCAGTCACTCATTCTTTCATTCAGTCAGTCAGTCAGTCAGCCAGTCTGTCAGTCAGTCAATCATTCACGCTGTCACTTAATGAGAGAGGCAGTCGGTCAGTCAGTCAGTCAGTCAGCCTGTCAGCCAATGTGTCCGATGATTCACGGATAATTCACTCACCCACCCATCTACAAATACACCATGCATCAATCACTTCGCTCGAATCAGAAAACAACCAATCTATCTCATCATCGTCGTCTCCATCCACTTCCATTCTCCTCCTTTCTACTCGCTCATGTAGACATTTCTACAACTCATTCGAATACAACACGAATACTCTCAATCACCAGAAACCTTCATCAGAAATCAACGAACACACATACACATTCTCACACGCACAAACACACACGCTCACACACTCGAGAGCGAAAACCACCACAAACAGACACACACACACACAGACGCATATGCAGTCTGTGACCAACAATCACACAAAGACACACACAAACTCACACAATCACACACACTGAAACACTCGTCAAATCACGGACTGAAGACTAGAAACCTGGGTGTTGAAACAGGCAACGCATACTCCAGCATGCAGGAACACTCAGAATCCCACACACCCCCAAATAAACACACACACAGACACAAACATACACAAGACAATCTCCCGCCAACACCACAAATATGTGGCCACAACAATCGTCAGCACAGCCATCATCCGTGTGAACAATCCACCGGAAAACACAAAAGCACGCTGATTCATGCACACATCACACCGACAAGACGAGCAAATCGACATTCGGAGAATGAAGCAGGAGGACGGCGAGTGGTGGTGTGGGTGATGAAATTGTGACAGTGTGAATGGAGTCAGGCGAATGAGACTCACCGATTGGTGTACGTCCGCCTGTTCGCGGCCCCCTTGGTCGTCGTTGTTTACCGATCACCTTTCCGTCCTTGTCTGTCACGTCGACGACTTCTTCGTCTTCCGGTGGCGTCACTCCATCTGCAAGAGAGAAGGAGGAGGAGAAGTCAGTGTCAGTCACTCATTCTTTCATTCAGTCAGTCAGTCAGTCAGCCAGTCTGTCAGTCAGTCAATCATTCACGCTGTCACTTAATGAGAGAGGCAGTCGGTCAGTCAGTCAGTCAGTCAGTCAGCCTGTCAGCCAATGTGTCCGATGATTCACGGATAATTCACTCACCCACCCATCTACAAATACACCATGCATCAATCACTTCGCTCGAATCAGAAAACAACCAATCTATCTC